CCCCCCCCACCAATCATCGGTGAATGAAACTGTGGCAGCTACAACCAGTGTACGACCAGTATGCGCTTCTCACAGCTGACAATGATGATGATGATCTCCCGTGGAAATGAAGTTGGCGTACAACCGAGCGTATTTTAATAACTCAGTGGTGATATTTCAACCAGAATGGCCGAGAAGTAGGTGCAACCAGGGGCATTTATTGTTGTGTGAAGTTTGGATAACCAGTTTACTGGCTTTTGCTTTTTAAGCAGTGCAGATTCATTTTCAGATGAACACACGTTCTTGCTTAAAAATCTTTTGGACTGTCCATATTCTTTTCAATCGCTTTAGATTTTATCCGTCGTCAAACCACTGTCCTCGCCTTGGCACTTTATTTTCTGTTTTTTGATTACGTATGAGTAGTTGAAGTGGTCGGTAGAATTTGACGTGGCTTCTTGAGCAGGAAGAGGTCTCCAGGAGTAATTTAAACGGAACATGTCGGTTTTATGTTATTGAAGATGGTTCAAGTGACTCATTATTCATTGTGACTTAGATGGAAAGACTTCCTCTTAATAATGGACTCCTCGTTGTTTACAGATACAAGGAATTTGTCATATTACGTCCATCAGGGACCTGGTCAAGTTCGGGAAGGTGAAAAGTGAGTGAAATTATCAAAATGGATGAAGAAAGCGACACTTATTAGAGACTGAAATTCTGATTAGGCCCATACAGAGACTTAGCAAAAGTGATAACCATTATTAAGTACCCATGAACTTCACCGCTAATATTTTTTGAGTACCCATCAAGATGAATTGTGTACTGCCAGTGTAGTGATTACGGTTATATTCTTTACATTGTTTGGTTGATAGTGGTGTGCTCCAGTCCAGAAAGTTTGGCAAGAGATCGGTAAGTCGAGCATCGACAGTGAAAGTTAGTAACCTTTAATGTGAAATCTTGACAGAGCAGAGTGCACTCATATGCGTTCTTCATGATACTGCATGTCATTTGAGTGGTATTCGTTTTTGTTTATACAACTGATGAACGAGAGACAGCTTTTTTCCGGCTCCACTTTTGCCCTCCATCCAAAAACAGAATTGCTGATCACGCGCTTATGTATGACCGCTAATCGTTTTTCAAATTAAGACGGATATTCTTGATAGAAAGCTGGTATCCTAAAGAAATTAATGGGGCACTGGTATTCTGTCTTTGTACTGCAACCTTAACATGGTCCAGAAGATTAAATCCAGGTCTTATCTCCAAACTCAGCCCTGAAGCCAGTTCTTTTAGTTCAAATTGAGAAAGCCTGATAGACTTTACCTGACGTAAATCGATAGCATATCGAAGGTTCTCTCAAACAAGCTGGGGCCGTAGACCTTGGTAGAAAGTTCGATTACTTGGGGCAACTCAAGTTTCGTTCCCAAATTTGTGAACACTTCATGAATTATCCGATACGTGCCAAGTTCATGAGATTTGGATTTAAAGACTATCATTACAGGGACAGAAAGTCTCATATTTCTCCTTATTCTGCTTCCTCGATCTATGTAGTAGTTCGTAGTAGTAGTCCATATAAGTAGTATCAGAGGTATGCTGGGGTTCATGATCGTCTTCATTAGGTCTGTGGCTCATTAAGTTAGCAGAAACCGAAGCTCACTTTCCAATGGTGTTCACCTAAACAGGACTCCGCATCTTAAAGTCGATAATCAGGACCGTCAGACTTTTACAGGTGATCTAAAATAGTTCTACTTTCACCAAAGTAGTTTGAAACGATTGATATAGTGAATATGCTTGCCATCACTGAGAACATATAAGCTGCGTTCGAGTTATTTTGGTCCGGTTTCGAGAAGCTCGCACATGCGTAACTACTGTTAGGTCAGCCCGCAGTGCAATAGGTCAGTACCACCTACCAAAACTGTTTCGCAAATTTGTTAGCCACAAGTAATTTGGTAATACAGTCAATATTTTCTGAATAGCTTTATCAGCGGTTCCAAAAGATGTTTCTATTGGCAAAAATCTTGTTACCATCGCCGAACTTGAACTACTTCGACAGCTGCGACAAGATTTTGTTTGATGTTCTTGGACGGACTTGGGGGTAGGGCAGATCGTACTGTAACATTTGGCCGAACTATTTGGTGATTAGTGTCTCTCGATGTAATCTATCAGACTAGATGGCATGTGCTCAGAAGGCCAGCGGCTCACATGGATTCCGGAATGCACGAAAGTGGAATGACGGATCAGTACTAATGAACTCTAAGACGGGTGCCTTATGTGCTTCAAGCTAGGTTTGAGCGTCTGAAAAATACTGAAACTGCGCTTCATTAAATGGTTGTCGAAAAGTAGTCGTAATGTGAGACGTTCCAGAGATCAAATGAACATAGCTTTGTTTCCGATAGAGCGGCCACGAATTTCTCTGGGCAGCCGCTGTTTATCGTTGTTCCTGACAGGCATTGCAGTTTTACTCATCTTGTATGTCGTCGTCGCAGCTCCTAGGAACACTTTTGAACGGCTACTTTACTTCAAGCAACCCATGGAAGATTTTTAATCTCGCTAGACCATGTGATTCTGCGGTAAATCAACTCGTAAAGACTACCATCCTGACTTCTTGTAAGCGAGAAGTTGAGATCATTTAAAAATCATTCATTTTTTGTTTGGTTTCAACTCCATTTGTGGGAATAAATAGAACCTTTGGTTTGCCACGTTGGTAGAATCTTTAGTTCATTTGTGTTGCATCCTAAATCAAGTACCATGTTAGGGAGGACTTAGGCTGTTAGGTACCCTAAATTAAAGGTAAGATAATAACCGCCTAGTCCCGTTAGATTCCACTTCGGTAAGCGTTCTGTGGCTTGCACGTTAAGAAATTGATTGGCTCTCCAAATACAAAGTGCGCCAACACTACAAGTAAACTGGTAGACGCAGCTCGTCTTCCTGTTTTTAGTGATAAAAAGTTTCATGCAAATTCACCTCACAAGATACATCAAAATGCTGATAAACCTTGATTGCTAGTGTTGCATCTAAATCAAGTACCATGTTAGGGAGGACCTAGGCTGTTAGGTACCCTAAATTAAAGGTAAGATAATAACCGCCTAGTCCCGTTAGATTCCACTTCGGTAAGCGTTCTGTGGCTTGCACGTTAAGAAATTGATTGGCTCTCCAAATACAAAGTGCGCCAACACTACAAGTAAACTGGTAGACGCAGCTCGTCTTCCTGTTTTTAGTGATAAAAAGTTTCATGCAAATTCACCTCACAAGATACATCAAAATGCTGATAAACCTTGATTGCTAACCGATAAGGCTGGTTTCTGTTTCCGCATCTATAGTTTCTCCGATAAGGACTCAAAGCAAGACGTTGCGGTGGTTGAACCCGAAAGGACACTAAACACAAAGAAGGACAATGAAGAAGGAGAAGACGATTTTGGAGAAACCATTACAGATGATGAAGAAAGCATCCAGTTGTGGAGCAGAGCACAGTCTGCTTTGTCAAAAGTCTGTTCCGCCAAAACGGTTACATCAAACTTTGAGTCGAACAAACCTGGCTGTTCCGGTCGCTCGTACGAACCGAAAAACCTGGCCAATGACTGCACGGAGGATAGCGATCTCTCACTCAACTCCACAAATGATTTGAACGATTTGATTTGCAATTATTCCGATCTGGAAGAAGACGAACTAACGTTCGTTGATTTGACAAACGACGAATACAATCTAAGCAGTCCGCGCCTCAGTGGACAAGTCCCTTCCATCGGAAAATCAAGTGGAACGACACCATTGTTTGTGAAGTAGCTCGCAACCGAACAAGTGTTACTTCACGTCCACCTATATCTGCTTTCATGATATACGTCTGCCCACGTTCGACTTACTGTTGTGCACTGCTTTCCGGTTCCGTAAGTACGCATTATGATCACTAACTGGTTGGTTATTCGTCCCATCCAAAACGGTTTTTGCTTCCTTGTATCTCGAGGGGGGGTCATAACGTTCATGGCGGTCTTAAATCTTATCAGCTGGTTCTCTGACCGCACTCCCGAATGGTATTTTGGTTTCAGAGACAAAGGCTGCACTACGCTTTGAACACTCTCGTCAGTTCAAGATGTGGATTTATACACATGCTAGCTACGTTATGAATAATGCGCAAGTCTTTTACCAAGAAGAATGCAAAATGTCTTCACAATGATAGTATCCGGTTTCATCAGCTCACGCGCACATGAGATTGGAACAGATATAAAAGCCGCAAGTACTGCACAGATTCGAATTAGGGGACAATATTTCAGAACAATGGCCATATCGGTTAAGTAATGATATCTGAGTTCGACGGTTTCCGTAGAGCCTCAATTTTAAGCTCAATATGTTAAAAACAAGAGAGAACATGTGTTGAGTCAAATAACAAGCGTCAAAGGTTCGGTTTCGAGACCGGCGTCTCACTAGCAGAAGGACTCTGGAGGTTTCTATTACGTAGCTCGTAGAGTAAATTAGCTCAAGTACCGTGAATAAAGTCGATCTTGGTTGGGCTCACCCGATTAGGATGAATCGATTGGGAAAGTGAGAAGAACGGCAAAAGTAGGACGCCGTGACTTTGTTGCAAGAATTCATCGAAGATAGTCAACTTGGTCTGCGGATTGTGAACGGATTAATATACAATGAAACAAGGAAACATATGTTTATATTTTTGTCGATGCCATACAAGAAATGTAGCTGGCGCAAAGCAGGCATGCCAAGACTAAGAAACTCGTCACACAGTCCAAATGAAGCAGTCGTGTAATGTGTTGTGGTTTTAGTCCCATCCATTCTTGTAGTAATGACGTGCGCCTGTGTAGAGAAAACTGGATTGGTGAACGAGGCAGAAGGGGGACCTTCACTATCCATCTCCACATAATAACTGGTTTGTAAGTCATTAAATTCCGCATGAAGAACATATTCCAATGCAGGGCCTGTCCAAAGTTTTGCGAGACGCTGCTGTTACTTTTGTTAATGATGAAGACAATGACGATGCTTATACTGATGACGATTCTGCTGTTGAGGATGGCGATTGTGATGGCACGTATGACGTTTATGCGGGCAGGATTGTTCATCAAAAATGGCCTGAAACAACTCAGTTTAGGTAAATTATTTGATTATTTTATTAAGAAACGAAACAAAGAATGCTCTTGAAAGATTAAGGACGCACAGTTTTGTTCAGAACGCCACTGTTTAATTTTATACTTTTTGGATATTGTTCGATGGCCGGTGGGAGACAGCTTTGATAGTAGCCTGAATAAATTTAATCAGCGGATTCAATGGGTTTCTCCACCGGTTGCAAAACAAGAGTCCTTGATTTCAGCTTTCCACGACAAGAATAGCGGAAAACTGAGGTCTGAAGGTAATTTCGTAAACAACTGCAGGTCAGGTTGTTACTAATCCGTTTACCAGGGTTGCAATCTGTATGCCGTCTTTTTGCCACTAAACTCTGAAGCGCTACAACTACGCAGATGATGCGGAATTTCGGGTTACATACCTGGAGGCGCTATTTGCTACCACAGACCTACAGAGCAAAACACCGCGATCTGATTACTTGATAGCAGTTTCCAAAGTTTCCTAACCTCAAATGTCCGTGGCGTAGCGGATGAGATGATCGAGAGGTTTCTATCCACTTCCTCAAAAGAAACAAGCTGGATGATTTGGAAGGTAGTGTTTATCTGACGTGCCCTCCCCAACCAGATAAATACGAGCTCACAACCGCTACACTCAGTTTCGGTTCTCTTGATTAAATTGAATGGGTTTCGGTTGGTTTTTCAGACGCTGAGTGAATGCAAAAGACTGAGACCGTAGCGGGGACAACCATAAAAACGATATCCTTCAAGAAAATGGGCACGAAACTTCTTATTTCCCTGAAACTTCAGTGCAATCCTTTAAGAAACTGATCTGCCTACCGGAATAGTCAACCATGCTCGCTGGCATCTTGGAATTTTCCGTTTGCTGTATGTTATGGTCACGAACGCTATCCAGTAAGTCATGGTAAACATTAGTAGTCGCTGTCTCACCCATACCGCTTGAGCGTTCACACTCACTACCAACGCTAATCACACGCTGCCTACTCACAAGCATGTTTTCACCACATACGGCTACAGACACTTGACTTCCAGCATTGGACTGCTACACCCCTTTACAATGTTGTTTATTACTGCGGCTACATCTGTGCCCGTCCCTGCTTAAGGCTTTTTAGGACACTTTGGGCCAGTTCTCAGATCACATGACGACACTTACTATTACACAGACCACCCCGTCCGTTTTTCTTAGTCCTGTGTTCTACCTACCAAAGGGCACTCCGTAAATATAGTTTGATCCCATTCCCATCTGATTGTCCTAGTCTCTTCCGTCGTTGGTCACAGGCGCCAATCGCCACTTATGCATGATTCTCCCGTTGTGCTTGCCGGCCCCAAAGACTTGCACCTAGTACGACAAGACTTGCCAGAGTAACTTCAGAATATTCTCCATATAAAAATTATTTGACCACGTAGTAGTCTGCGGGCATAGCGACTCCATACGGCTGCTAAAACCTCTTGAGATCGTCTCGCATGCGGAGGGTGTGAAAACCTAAAAATTAATACGGACCATACCGTTGTCCTTTATCACGCAAACGTGTTCTCACAACTTTGGGTGTGCATGCATACCGCCGAATGTTTGTAGCACTATATGTGACTAAAACTACGGTCATCAACCGGTGTGACGATTGTCTTTTGAATAACGAAGTGCCGTGTAAAGCTTCGGACATATTATCACGAATATAACTCGCGACCTGGGTTACTTCCAGCCGTATATCCATGACGTACCCTTCGCCAGCCCCACCATTCAAAAGGACGGGCAGTGACATGTTTTTGCGATACTGAGTCTGAGCTTGGCAAAACATCAATTACATTTTCAAGTGCCACGATTTACGCGGTCGGAATTCGATCACTCACTCCGAAGACCCAGGTCATGAACTGTTCGGTATCCACAAAACATTCTCCTTCGTTTCGTTTAGGCAGCCTAATCCACCAAAAGCACCACTTTATTTACAACGTTGACCCATTTTATGGAGGGGCTAACAATATTATTCCCACGGATGACGGCTTTGCCACTTTCAATTTGGTTATGCAAGTCTAATGTTTTGACGTTCTTTTGACTATCGTCAAGCACCTATATCAAACAGCTTACCGATGAATGCTTTAGCCGCGGAAATTGGCTATTTTCCATAACGGCCTGGGCGCGTTGGTTGAAAGCCTCTTGGATTCTTTCGAGGGAGGTGACAAGTGCACAAGCCAGGCATAGAGAGTTTTGCCGTGACTCACTGTCTACACTCACTGCTGTTTACCACTTTCTCCCCGCACCACAGTTTGCAGTATTTGGAGAGAACATTTTCCAAGCTAAGCTGTTTCGAACTCCTCAGACAAGCACACACACGACGCAGTGTCAGTTCGACCACATTTATCGATTTCCCAGTGTCACGCGAAATTTGGTTGGACAAGATAACATTTCTGCGGACAGATCAGGTCACCGCGTTGGAGTTTGATGCAGTAGCTAACGCGACGACCTTTACTTTGAGGATACGCTTTATAGTTGCAGCTTCGAAGTCCACTGCTGACCATGGTGAGCTTTGGAATTCATAAATCACAGAACCCAGACGAAGGAGCCGCATCTAATGGTTCTAGGTAGCTTGCCGTGGTTTGTCTTTGACATACTTCAAACGTTATTCCGCCTTGAAATTTAAACAGTTAAAACGTCAACGCCGAAAGTTGTGTGGCTCTATAACGGTGTCAGGCAGTTTGTACGTTCATCGCCCTGCCAACCCACAAAAGTACACTGTCACACCGCAAGCCCCCCTTGCAACATACCCGAACAAAAGGTTCGTTTCAACCACGCTCCTACTGAGTTTGTTTGGATCTTTCGATAAGCGTCAGATTTCACCATAAACTTACCTGTTTGGATAGACACACTTGCCGGTTCCAGGCCGCACCGATTTCTGAGTGCGCCGCAAGAACCTCCGTCAAGCTTTGGATACCGCATTTTGACTGCCTTTCCAATGCCGACATCGGTTTTGACACCAAGTTCAACCCAGCTGCACTCAGCTGGCCTAAAAATTTTGGGCTGCTCTGGCCCCATAAGAACAGGTTATGTTTCATGGGTAATAAGATTTTCCAGTATTTGAATCGGCACCTGAAAGCCAAATTATGTGCGCATGAATACTCAAGCTGGAATCAAGCATTGTTGTCGGTTCCTCTAAGAGTACACGACAATCTGAAGTTAGGTATAAGTTGCACGCCGGCATCACTTTTACATGGCTCTTCCATAAGTTTACTGATGGACCATCCCATTGCCAATCCACCAAGAATGCCTGATCACGCACACTGTGCTGCTGAACTATCTAACTACATTCTCTCTATGACTGTCGTCTGATTGGCTTCAATCTGCCATCTCTTACATGGCCCCAGGCTTATTCCAAGATGCAATGTCACGTTGTGTTACAGTCCCATGTCCGCCTCGTACATCCCACAGGTTCCGCACTAAGTGAATGATGTCCTCCAAAATCGCTAGTAATCGGCCACAAGACGTCTACATAAAATCCTTAGTGCTAACCGACCAAAGTCTGCCACGAATTTTCCCAAATCCATCTACTGACATTCAGTTCGCCCTCTCACCTGTGTGGACGGGAATATGCACATCTCCGAGACAAACGAAGGCCGGCAAACACACAAATTTCTTTCTTGGTTATTTAGATTTGCTTACTGAACAACGGTCAGCAGTTATTAGTTACTTTCGCCACATTTCCCTTCTTGAGTTTTTAGTGTGCAAG